TACTCTGCGTGATGAAAAAGGCGTGTTGGTTAAAATAGGAGCAAATCTGTTCATCGGATCAACAACTGAAAATCGTACCTGCAGGATGCAGATGAATTAAGAGCACTAGAACGATCAACCAGAAACTACGCGAATAACTGAGCACTTGAATATGTGATAGAAATTTACTTCTTTACTAAGCGTATGTCCTCTGAATTTTTGACTGCAGCCACGTTTGGCTTGGATAAAGACAAACAAAAAATAGATTAGGCCTTTTACAGCAAAATAAACCTTCAGAATTGAATATATTAGGTGTGACGGAGGCTGGAGATTGATTACAAAGTTATTATACACTGGAATTATAGTTATCTGTTCCGTTTCTAACAACATTAAAGAGTAAATACCTCAAAACTTTGGTACTTTCCATGAATTTCCAATGTCCTCCATGAGGATTTTGGAGAGTGGCTCTAATCGACCTTTGGTCATTTATATTGAATTCTGCTCCGTTTCTCTTAATTTTTTACTAATCCAAACATTTTACAAGGTTTTCTTTCCTGTGGAAATCAAATAGGACACATGCTACGAACATGTTGTATTTGAAATATATAATATAGTTTTGCATTGCTCTTGTTTGACATATTTATGAAATCCTATTGGGGATTAGGGATGAGTCCCAACACAGCCACAACACACGGAAATTCAACTGGGACATTTTGGGGGGTCGCACAAAACAAATGATGTGTATTTCTTTGTAAATCTCCTCGATTTATGTTTGGATGTTTTGAATGGGTTTATGTGAAGCACTCTGTTGCTGAAATGTACAAATAGAATTGCCTTGTCTTGCCTTATGTGGCACCATACCATTAAAGAGTACGTTGGTGTTCTGTGAAAGAAGCCCAAAGAAGTAAATGTCTGGATTGAAAGGTGAAAGGTACTTGGTCCTGTCTTTGGACAGTATATTAACAGGTTTTAAATGAGAGAAATCGGGAAAGAGAACCTCAGGAATCAAAGACTACTCAGGTAAAAATAACATTGTCAGGCACAGTTACCAGCAAAGAACTAGACACTCAGGGCAATAAATCCAAAGACAACATGCTACGTCTCAGTCCTCAGGAATTTTTCATGAGCCACCACTTATCTTGTCATATCAGATTTCTTCCACCAGATTCTTCAGAGAAAAAAGACACATTTAGGGCAAATTATTCACTTTTAATCAAATCACCCTGTATGGCCTGAGGAGATCTTGCCTTGCCGTTTGAGTCACTGAGGCATGGGCCACTAATGCACACACCCACGGACTGGAAGAAGCCTGCAAACAAACACCCACGCATGTGGCATAACGCACTGAAACAGCAGCATTTAGGTGTCTTTTTTTTATCTGAGAGCAAAAAAATGAGACTCAACAGTAAAATAAAAAATACAAGAAGAAAGCAAGAAACAAAGTGGCATCTGGAGTTTCCATCGACAAGTGAAATTCCAGATTTTCTCACTCGCTTTTCGGGGGAACCAAAATCGAACAACTTTATTCTGGAGTGCAGTCAGTGCAGGAGGGAGCTATAAAATATAAATAATACCACATAACTCTATACCTCCCAACTGAGCCATTTGGTTACAAATACACTCCTGTTCGTCACACAATTCCAGCGTCTCTGGTATTTCTATCGCGTCGACGCGGCTGAAGAACATATGGATTACGACTGAAATGTAACTTCAGTGACACTGAAGTGTTTATTTTACACAGTTGTCATTAATTAGTTCTGGACAAAATCAATTAGGGCCACCCCAAATTATACCGTAAAATGTAAGAATCATGACCATGTCTGGGTGGATGGAAAAACAGTGGGTGTATTTTCTAAAAGCTGAGCTGTGCAAAAAAATCTGTTCTATCATTTCTCACTTTAAACAAACAAAGACGGAGGGAGTGTGTGGCTTCTGCACACACTGGGTGTGTTCATGAACGAAGACCAAAGTTCTCCTGATGCCTTCCTTAAAGAGTCTGATAGTGTTTGGATTAGCATGTGAAATGAAGCCTGAACAAAAAAGAAATGACGCAAAAAATGTAACACATGTAAGTGCAAGTATCCGCTTACAGTTCAAACACAGCTTGTAGCACTGAGCCTGGTTTTAATCTCATCCATTTGGCTTTTTCCAAGAGTTATCTATATTCACAACGTAGATAAAATGCTATAGTGTAGCAGATAGAACAACAGAGATATCCATCTGTCTGATTGTACAGGACTAAGCACATCTTACATATCCATGTCATAACAGCTGTTAACCCCTGGTCTTTACCTCTTCTCCTTGTCCTGCATTCTATGTCTTATTTTAACTTAAGAATCACAGGAACAGACCAAATTTCATAATGTATTCAGAAGAAACCGGAGACCTTTCATCAGCGTGATGTGTTAAGATTTAGTTATTTACTTTGTTTGCCGAGGTACAAAAATATAATGATGTCTGCTTCATGTATATTGTTTTAAATCAAGTATGCCTCACACTGTGCTCTCTATTAAATTAGGACTCCTGCCATCCAATTTGGCTGAAGATCTCACAGTGTCTCTGTTTAGTCGCTACGGCCTGCAGCTTCGGTTACAGGATCTCGGTCAAAGATTTCCATCTCAAGTCACCACAAGGTAGATGACCCCACTCCCTCTTGCAAAATATTACTTTTTCTGTCACTGCCAACACACACTATCAGTCACTGGAGAGATTATTGGGGCTGAGGACAGATGAAGAGGAGCAGAGGTGTCGCAATGACCCACTCCAGGATAAATAAAGCAGGAATGTTGCTTTGATGTTCTTAAGGCTGAATTCCTGCTGCGTGAATGAAAGTTTTCCGTTCATCTAAAATATATTTTGTTTACTTGTTTTTTGCTCCTGCAATGCACTTGCACATATTTCCTTTCACCTTTGACCCAAGCTTTTTACATTAGAGTGCAGCTTCGTCAAGACTAAAATTGCACAGAAAATGGGTGTGAGCAGGAAGGTCAAGTGGTGATTATCTTCTTTGATTAATCACAAAAAATGTGGGAATAAATATCAACACAAAATAGTAACAAAAAAACAGGGAATATCAGTAGTTCTTTTATACACTCAGAGGCCATTCTTTTCAAATAAAGAGGCAGGGAGCGAGAAAGTAAGAACATCAGGGGAAATTGAGAGGACGGAGTAGAGGGAGAAGAGGAAGACGAGGAAGAAAGAGTCCTCGATGTGAGCAGTAATCAGAGGAAGCCAGCAGGGGGGACAGAGAGGGGTGCTGGGGTCAGAGCGGAGCACCACTAAGCAGCCTTTCTCTTCATTAGCAGCCTCTCTAAGGGGGGCGTCACAGGCCTACCTGTCCAGCAGATTATTGGACCGTAACTCCCATCACACACACACACACACACACACACACACACACACACACACACACACACACGCACACTCACACACTGATTCCCACAGACCCAGAGGAATCACGACCTAGCTGCAGCCTCGCTGACAACTTTAACTTTTACTTTAACCTCACGTAACAGCGCTAAATGCAGAGTCTACTCGGTGCATAACGAGGACATTTGCCTGGTCATTTTCTACATTATTTGAATTGGTGTATTGTTGTCCAGCCTTTTCGGTCGCCTTTTTTGGTTTACACCAGCGACACACCAGCACTTATTTTATGCCACTAACTCTGAGAACCAAATAAGTGTAGAGAGACAGAAACACTTACGCGTAAAAACAAATACTTGCTTTTCCGGACATTTGAATTGGACGGACCCCTGCCTGGTCTGGGAGGGAGACAGCAGCATGGAGATGAAAATAATGAAATAACACTCCAGGAATGTGAATTGGCATTCTTCCGTGTAGTCGCAGCACCAGCTCAGGCTCATGAAACATCCCTGACGCAGTCAAACCAGGCCAAATGACTCCGCTAAACATATATCTCACACACATCTCCCTGACTTAAGAGTCAAGGAGCTTTTTACTAGGTCTGTGCGTCTCAATCTCTTTCTTGGAGTCCCTTTTCATTCTACTCGTCTTTCCCTGTCTCCCGAAGGCTTCAGATATGTCCACACTCTACTGTCTTCGGCAGAGATGAAATGCGTATGTATTTCTGTTTGTGTTTCAACCGTCGCTTTTGGCCAACCTGGGAAACCTTGGAGTTTCCTTGGAAGGCGCCGTAGCACATGGACCCACAGGGACCCACAGGGACCCACAGGGACCCACAGGGACCCACAGGGACCACTGACACAAGTCAGTCAGACTTTGGTGTAAAAGGCAGCGATTTAAATGAGTCTAAGCTTTTATTTTCACTGACATCGAACACAGTCAAACACGCCTGTTTCTTTATAAGATACGGACCAAACATCACCTGAAAAAAAGACGTTGAATATTTCAGGAAATCAATAAAAAATAGCATGCAGTGCTGTTGGTAAGGCAGGTTTTTCAGCAGGGGGATTTTAGGCCCAAAAAATAACTTGAGAACTGTTACTGCCAGCTATGAAATGAAGTCTGCTAACATTTGTTTAAGTAAACATACAAACGCATTTCCATCAGCCCCTGTTTATGTTTGCTTGCTATCTCAAAACATTGCAATTCAATGCAACTGCATTCAGTGGTTTGTGTGCGTTTTTACTTGTGAAGGCCCAAATACAGGTAGCATCGAATGACTAATTACTCCGAATGTTACAGATTTTAGATCCTATTTATGATTATGGCCATATGTGCTTCAAAATGCTGTAATGATTACTAATGATCGTCTAAGACAAAAAGTAAGGGACAAAAAAGATCACAACAAGCACAAAACAGTGTTACTTTTAAATCGAAGTATAGAAACATATCCAGCCAGTAGGATATCTGCAAGAGACCAGTGTGGGAAATAGAATGCTCATATGACTTGTTTAACTCTCTTGCTGGTCCATTGAGTGCAGATGACAGACCAGCAGAGAAGTTGTAAAAAAAAAAAGGAGTTATACCAATTCCATAATGCGACATGTTTCACATTCATAAATGAAGCGAGCACCAGTAGTGTAAAACATATTTACCATTGTTGCATGCTGTAACTGACAGACCTCGCGACTTCTGGCACTTTTCAAAACTTGGCGTCCTCAAAAAAGTCTGATTTCGCCCTCAAGTGGGGAACCTTCTCCTCTTCAGTACTGCAAGCGCGCTGAGGTGAATCAACGTCGGTGTTCCTCTCACAAGCGTCTCACCGACGCTTAAGGACAGTCTTTTTTTTTGTACATAACACTGGAAAACCTTCAGCTCTTCTCTTTTTTTTATCCCGAGATTCTTCACCGAGAAACAAACCGCGCGTCAAGACGCGCTGCTCCAACGGCGACGAAACGCACGACCGCGACACTCGTTCCCCACCTCTCCTTCCTCCCCCCCAAAAAACCCGTAAACTAAACAAGTCAAACACAGACACGGGTCGCTGACAAGCAGAAGTTCTGTTGTAACTTCTTCTCCTACTTTGAGAGAAAAACGCAACAACAAAAAAAAAAGAAAAAAGAAAACGCCTTCCTTCACTCCCCCGATGGTTCCTTCTGCGGAGTCAGCGCGGCGCGCGGCGGAGAGCAGCGGACCGTCGGGGGCTTTTGGAGAGAAGGTGGCTGCTGCGCGCTCGGACCGGCGTTTTACACGCCGTGCGTGACTGTAACCCGAGCGACTGTGGGTCCGCACAGCTCCCGGGCCCCGATGAGCTGATTTACGAGGTCGTGTCTTGGAGGAAGAGTAACATCTTTGTGCGACAGAAATGTGTGCAAATAATCCACAGCCCCCCGAGATGAGAACTCGGGCACGGAGACGCGCGTTTTTGTGGCGCATAGCAACACTTGAAGAGCGGCGAGGATTCAGCGATAAAATGTGGTCCAAATAATCTCTAATTTATACAATTTAAACTTTAAAAAAACTGTCAAATGCAGTAAATGGCCCGGTGCAAAACAAACACAAGTTGTTTTATTTCATTTTCCCGCTATTTTTGAAATCCTGCGTTAACTTCTCGGAGCTAAAAGTTGCACTTAATGTCAACTTTCCCTTTTTTTCACTTTCTCTGCCCGCTCGCTAGGAAAGACGCGCACGCTGAAAGCGCACGCACCCCCACGTGTTTTAGGAAGTTGGAAATAGTTGATGGTTTCCCTGCGCACTGCAGGGATGTGACACTACGTTATGCCCTCATATTCCTCCGATGGAGAGGCGCGCGCATTAAAGTTTCATTGTCTGTGTGTTTGTGTGTGCGCGTGTGTTTTACGAGGATTTGCTCAACATTTGACTGAGGCATCTCGAGAGTGAGGATTTGAAGGAGCGAGTGGCGCAGAAAGAGAGACATTACGGTCCTTCTCAGCTCCTGACTCCTCCACCGGGGTGAGAGAGGAAGCAGGATCCCAGTCAAGCGCCTGGAAGCCCCACTTGCATGTTTGGTCAAGGGGTAAATAATAGATCAGGGATTAGGCTTGTGTAGAATTCATTCCAGGGTAACAAGCTACTGAGGTCCCAGGATATGCATATTCATTCCTTGGCCAAGGCCGTGGGAGAAGGAGGACCATGTGCGTGTTTGTCGGATGGCTCACATTGCTAATTTAAGGAGATAGTACATACTTATGTGAGCAGCGGAACAAAGGGCCCTTAAAGGATTGTTTGAATCATTTCACGTCAACTTCAAATGCTTTTGATGCTGCTTTGATTTGACTCACTAAGTGTATTTTTTTACTCAGCAGTGTTTATTAGACAACAGAGGCTGTGGATGAGTAATACGACATGAACTGCTCGTCAAAGGAAAACGCTGCCCTTCTTTTCTTTGCTGTTTCCGATCTATCAGATAAAAAAAAATGTTGCATATGCAAGATGTGCAATAGCATGTTTGTGACAGTTATGGACTGCGTTCAACTGAGGGAAGCTTAAGGGTGCGCGCGGCTCTTCTGTAAGCACACAGCGGGATCATCAGAGATAAGAGCGCCATGTAAACAAACCACCAAGAGTCTCGGCTCACAACGCACACAAAGGTAGAGCGTCTTCATCATCGGCTGAGGCCCGATTACTTCATTTATTGTTTGATTGTAAATATCTGTTAGCTGTTATGAAAATACTCTGAATATATCGAGAACCATCAAATGGGTACTAACAGGTAAAGGCCACTTGATAGAAAAGGAGACTACATGTTAATTTGTTCATGTGACAGAATCCCACTGTTCACTAATTATCCAGTGGGACCACTGATAATGAGCTATTGGACTTGCTTTGGTCCATCAGCAGAGTGGACACCGCACTCGCGGATCCATCATGTCCACAGAGGTCCATCTGTTCATTAACTTCCAGTCACTACTAAAGCATAGACAGATCCAGAAAGGTCAGTTTAACCATCACTAAGAACCGTTGAGGCTTGGTCATTGCTCATTTGACGGCTTGGAGTTGGTTTCTTGATTACAACTAGTGATGTGATATTTCTGATCCTATGTAAATATAAGACACGTTCTTACTTGGTACTTTCTTGTTTTGTTACGTTATGTCATCACGTCAAGCCAAGTTTATTTTCATGGTCCCAAAATCACAAATTGGCCTCTGTAGGCTTCTTAAAAGCACCAACCTACATTTTTTTTACCCTAAATTGGGACAACCAACAAAAAACTGCAAAACAGCAATATTGGTCATTCAAGTGACATATTTGATAATGAAAGAAGATCAAGAGTTAATACAACTGTCTAAAAACAGTTCTCCAAACTCCCAGAGAAGGAATCACAGGTGGTGGAACTATGACGAATACTTTTCTCATCTAAAAGTTCTTTTCCGACTGGACAACATTTACTCAGGGAGATCAATGTCCCATGTCCTTGGCCTCCTCTGCCATACACAAGGGAAATATGAACCTAAATACAACCTCACCACCTTAATTTACCCCGTCTCCAAGTAAAGGACAAGCTCTCTAGTGGAAGCCCCAGGGAAATAGCCTCGCTCCTTGTTCCCACACGTCCTGCGGGAGCTAACCCGGACTGGGATGGCACGCCAGTTGGGTGAGCCCAGAGTGAGCTTCATGGCACTGTGGACACACACACACACACACATGTACGCTGCTGACTCTGAGAGGTAAGTCTTGTGTGGATCAATTCCTCCTTTATGAGAGCTCTGGTCTGTTGAGGATAGGACCAGAAGGTCATCAGATGGGAGTCAAACAGAGGTCCACGCCGTCTCATTGGTGCGAGGGTTAGGACACAAACAAGGGGGCTTGTGCACACAGCATGTGGTGGTGGTGGGGGCGTGGGAGGGGGAAAAGGGGGGTGGGGAGGGGGGGCTTATGCAAGGTCAGCGACATCACATGCTTTCAGGAATGCACATGATGGCAAAGACAGAGTGTAAGGTTCGGGATGAGGGAAGGTTTTGAACTAGACTCGTCCGATTTAGGTGCACAGATAGTGTGTCTGAGGGCTGGAAAAAAAGAAGACTGGTAATCAATGGTTTCTCTGTCCTGGGGTTTTGTAAGGCGGTCCAAGGTCTCACAGGATTCAGCATGAGGATGGCTCATGCTTGAGGTCAATAGGGGCTGAAAATTCTCCCACTGACTCTAGTGAAAGACATGATACCCTCCCTCAGGGCATCGCTTGAATAGAAATGTGTACAAACAGAATGCCAGCGATTAAGCACAAATTTAATGGACAATTTCAAAGATTTGTCACAGCCAATTTCAAATTCAAAAGTTTAAAAAAATCCTCCCACAAATAGAGTCATCAGCCTCGCGACAAAGTGACTGTTATCAAAGGCGCACGTGTTGCGGCCTGTCTCATTTCTATGCAGCGGGGGCGATGTTCTGCTAAACACTGCGCAGGTTTGACATCCCATCTGGCTTTTGTACAATCAATGTTCCTTTAAAGCAGGGGACCTGAGTCTCTTTAGTATCCTTTGTCACCTCCCGCAGTTCTCAGGTTCTTTCCTCCCTCAGCATCAAAGCTGGGCCGCATTAATGCAGACAATATCCCCGCTTACCTGAGGCGTCGGGCGCAGACTGTGCTTTCACAATCCTCCATGGAGTGTCATGTTTTTCCCGGGGACGTGCCTCTCTTCCTTCCTCTGACGGCGTCGGCACACCAGGGCTTGTCATTTGGTTCTTGAATTTTTCATGCAGTTGCATTTGCATGATCACAGTTCTGTGTCACTCCTTCCCCCAGTTGATTAAATGCTGCGTGGCACATGAACTCCACGGTGACTCCGCTGGGGCAGAACAGAAGTGAGACAAGCAAGCTTATTGGGATTGTCAGAGCAAGAGCTGTCTTGTTTCAAGGGGTGGCTCTTCACATATTAACTGTTGGGCAATTAGGCACAAGAGGCCCACAGAGACGTCTTCAAACAAGGATCGGTTTACATTTTATTCTCTATTGTCTGCATTCGCAGCTCTGAGTCTGAGTCAGTCGTATTATGGCGCATTCAGTCAGGAACTCAAACCACGGCGTGCACTTTTAGCGACGGCGCGCGTCGTTTAGTTGGGTAGGACGCATCATCTCAGCATAACACCGAAAAACAATCAGCCGTATTGTATATTATATTATTATGACAAGTCTGTTATAAGCAATTTTAAGCACACCGTCTCTCTCAAGAACAACAGAACATTTCAGTGACCTAGAGTTTGAAACATACATTTTTAGCTATGGTTTATGTCAATAGATTTATACTTAAAATTAGTATAACTCTTGGGTGGGTCACTTTTTAGTCACCTACAATTCCTAAAACTGCATGATACAAGCTCATTTCATGCAGACTAATTAAATGTGTTGTAGAAATAACATTTATGCTGGACGTCCTCAACATTGTTATCATTGTTATTGTGACAGTGGTGATCCTTTATACATATTGATATCAGCAAGTCCAAAAATGTACACTCTCTGTTCTTTTCTTACTCAATCTGGCTCGAGGAGCCGGGGCTCATTGTAATGACAGAACAGTTGTTATATTGTAAATGACACAGGGATTGAGATACATTTCATGAATCCTAATAACAGCATTTAGATGTAACAAGGTGAGTCATTAATAAACGGTTGAAGTAAATGTGAGAAAATGTTTTTTTTGTTTTGTTGTTTTGCAGGAAGCACATTGTTGGTGATATGAACGAGTGCTTGGCAGCGATCTGCTTTTTATGTACCTAGGATGCACTAAGATCTGGATTAATTTGTCATTAGTGGGAGAGACTACAGGCACTTCAAAGAGGGAGATTCATTCTGCAGCAGCAGTCAGTGTCTAAACATGGTAGAACATGTCTGTTGAATGTGGTGGAATATGCACCTCAACAAATTCTCCCCCGACATTGAACATGCAAGCAACTGGAAATGTCTGGGCCAAATTACACACATTTCATGATGAAAGAGGTGGTGGTTTTAAAAAGTATCCCTTCGAGTTATCAGCTTCCTCAGAGAGAATTGAGTTAATTTTACTTTCTATGGACAGTATTCTGTCATATGATCTGCCTCTCATTGTTCGTAATCAATCCCTTTCAAGGTTTCTTATAATGAAATTCCAAATGACTTTTGACCTGAAGATGAAGGTGAAACTGCAGTGACCAGACTCTGTTGAACATGGTCATTGAGAGAGACAGAGAGAGAGAGGCGGGTATTCACAGATAGATAGATAGATGTGTCAGTTTGTGCGTCCAAACAAGAAACAGGGGGCAGGCAGATGTTGCGCATTATGTACCAGTCTACTGCTTCTAAAATTGTTCCGCAAATGAG